GCAGGGGGGACACGAAGTCCCACCATATTTCCCTCCTACGTTATTTGACCAATTCGCCACAATGTTCTCTACGGTACAACGCATCGACACCCAAACGCAAGAGAATACGAGAGTCATCCAAGATGTGACGAGTCGCGTTGATTGATTGGAGCAGTCATTCGCTCCTACTTCCCGCCAGGTCCAGGATATGTGCGACTACCACTATCGCCACGGGCATTTCCCGCCTCCTGACCCTCCGATTTAGGTCCTTTCCCCCCTTTCCTCAAGCATTGAGGACAATGCTCGTTCTTAAGCTTGGGGTGGGGCATTTCCCTTATCTTTTACTTTTTCATGCATTTTTAACTAGGTTGCATAACATTTTAGTTTTAAGCTAATTTTCATTCATTTTTTTATATAAAATTCCAAAAATATTTTATTTTTCTTCTTTTTCACCTTTTATATTTTTGCATAACATCTAGCTTAGGGCATTAACATTCATGCATTTTTGTTGTCTGTTTATTCTCACCTCCTTGGATGCCATAGAACAGGTTCATAGTTATTGTATCATTATTGGTCCAGGATCTTATTGCTATCTCACCCATCGAACCGAGACCATTAGCTGCAGTTTGGGATTTCATACTTGGGATCAGATGCTGGTAGCTTAAAGGGGTAAGTGATCATGGCCAGGTAGTTTTCATGAAGAATTATGCATACAATACTAATGACTGTAGGATATATACTATAGCAATGAATGTCTTAGCCTTGCGGTCACTACCGCCGATAGGATCACACTTGATCATGTTTGAACCGTTAGGATGAAGCACTAGTGCTTGTCCCCGGGTAGAATCCATATCCGGTCTCTTTACATCACCATATCTTTTTGCGATTTTCTTAGGATTTTAGAGAAGTCTTTTAGTCCGCATGTGGACATTTTCATTGTTCTTAAAAAAAAATACAAGTTTGAAAAGGAGTTACATTACATCTTTATGCTCCACACATGGTCATTTTCTTGCTTAGACCATTCGAATAATATTACTACCCTTTCGGTTCCACTTACACACTTTAGGAACCAAATTTTGAGTTAAAGGGTTTTCTTGTTAAAAAATTTCGATTGTTACTACATTACCTTCAAGTATGGTTTTAACAAAAAAAAAGGGGGGGGGGGGGGCGAGGCAAATTCTCAGTTGTAGAAATCTGAGAAGGGTGACTGGTTCAATTATTGAACTAAATTTTCCAACATTTTGGTCACCCGACGTTTGATATTCATTTATTTAGGTATTTTTATTGTATATAGATCGATTTGTTTTTCGCAAATTGGTGATGTTAGGGAGACTGTCGAGTTGGATACTACGGAAGGTTTAGGCCAACACCAAGTGAGCCGATTCCTACAACGGTGCCCGGGCGATTAAACCTAGTTACACATGATAGAAATCGGAAAACGTGAGATCAGAGTGTACATTTAAAAAAGAGCTCCACCCGAGCCCATCCAGCTGCTTTCTCCCTACTACAGATATTCTTCATTGTATGCATGTTCCATTGAGGCTGCGACTGCTCATCCCTCCTTACTTACCTAAAGGAGTTGTCCTGGCTATGGTTTATGGCTTCATTGTCATCGGATGAAAAAGTTGTGAGATAATAGCAAGATTAATTTTGACCATGTTGACTAACAGTGATCAGGTTCCGTGGTTCTATCCATTCTTTTTATTTTCTTAGGATAGTTCATCCCGTGTTCATTTTAGTCTTGTCTTACATGAGGACAAGTAAGGTTTAAGCTTGGGATGATTTGATAGTTAGTTTTGTTTACTTCTTTTTATAGTTTATTTTAGCATATTTCATTCATAATTTAGATAATTTCCATGCATATTTTCCTTTTAGTTATTTTATGACTATTTCAAGTACTTTCGAATCTTGTGAGCATAATTGCAGGTTTTCGGGTCTAGCAGAGCGAGAGTGTTCGGGACGTATGGGAAGCGATGGGATTTGGTAGACAAAAAGGATTTTGGGCTTGATGGGTAGTGGAGATGATGCATGGAGTGATCTTGATGATTATTTGAAGGCTTGGAGAGAAATAAACTTTAAATTTGCAAGATGCGGGGGAATATTGAAGCGTACGTAGATTATTAATCAGGCGAGTTCACGAGCTTTGAAGGATTTGGAGAAGCCAAATTGGGCTAAAAATGAAGAAAAACTTGAAGAAAATGGGCTAGGAGGTGGTTGGATTCGATATGGGCTAGTGGGATATGCTTTGGAGGCCCAAAAACTCAAATAAGCCCATGTCAGGCACCACCCGCGCAGCAGCATGCGGGTCGCGCAAGGCCTTGTAGTGGCATTTCCGGGAATTCATGTTTTAAGCTATATGGGGAAGGTTGGTGCCTATCTTTTGCATACTCTTGGAAATCCGATTTTTGAATATTCTCTTTGGAGTTTTGAAGACTTTTGAAGGCTAAGAACACCTCAAGAACATCATCTTTTTACCTCTTGATTCTTGCTTAATGTTTGGTACAATCTTCTCTAACTTTGTTTCTTTGAGTTTAGCCATGCTTAGCTAAACTAATCTTGGTTGACTTTTGTTGAATCCTTTGAGCTTTTGTTGAATGTTGAAGAATCCATGAACTTGTTGTTAAATCTTTATGGGAATGTTTTGTGTTTTAACATCTTATCACTACTTGTATGTTTTTAGCTCATGAGTTTAAATATGTTTGTGGTGATTAGTTGGCTAATTTCTTGATTAAGTAAAGGATCCTCAAATTAGCAAGCAAAAAATGATTTTTGTGTTATTTTTGCTTCACACAATCATAAAAATATTTCTTCCAACATGGTGGTGAAAGCATTTGACCCCTCTTGGATTTGGTGATTTTTTGGTTCTTAATGCTAGTTGACTTTCACTAATTACATGCTTAATGGAAATTGTGACTTTGACTAAGGAAATTGTTATGAGCTTCTCTAACCATTTTAACAACTAAAAAAAGTCTAGATAAACTCAAGCTTCTTGGATTACTATAGCCAAATTGAGGATTTAAAACAAGTATTGCACCATTGAATTCTAATGATATGTTCATCAAACGTCAAAATGAGGAAACCTTAAGTCAACAATCCTTCTCTTATTGATTTTACATAAACTCTTATTTTTGTTGCAATTGTCTATTTAAATCATAGTTAATTCTAGTTTGTTTCAAGTATTTCAAAACATCAAAACCCCTATTTTTAATTTATTGTCATATTCCAAGTATTTTTTACAAAGATATTTTTATAGAGTTATCAAATTGAACCAATCTCCGTGGATTCGATCCCTTGACCGCTATACATTATTTTTGTGTGTAATATTTAGGGTTATTATTTGTGTTGGCCTCGACAACCACCAACCACCTTCACTTAAACTAGTATTCGCCAATAAACAAAGCATCGCAGAAAGTTGTTGCATTTCTACCGGCATCCTTGGTTCTAGGATCCAATCCCATCTCCAAGTCACTCTATTGTCCGCCAATAGGTACCTGTCACTAGCAACACAGAATTTTGCATTTTCAAGTGCAAAAATGCTAGGAAATAACTCCTTGAGCGGTTGGTTGCATCTCCACTTATTGAGTAAAAAATGACACTTGCTTCCACTTCTAATTCCTCTACTAAATAGAGCATGCAAGTCGACATTAAATGATTTAAAATCGACCTCAATTTTCGTGATTTGTTTCCAATTTCCAGAGTAGTTCGGCCTTGTCATTTTTAAAGAGTCTTGCCTCTCCTATTTGTGAATGGAGCTAATGACATTGCACCATAAGGCATCTGGATTTGTTTTGAGACGCCACCACTATTTGACAAGTAATGATAAATTCATGATTCTTAGGCAAGATACACCGAGACCGCCTCTACTTTTTGGAGCTAAGACTTTGTTCCATGAAACCCAACATATTTTCCTACTATCTACTTTTCCGATCCAAAGAAACTGTCTTCGGATTTTTTCGAGATTTTCAATGATTGTCAAAGGGGCTTTATATAGGGAAAAATAATAAAGAGGTAGGCTACTTAGGACATAATTAAGCAAAGTGAGCCTCCCACCAAAAGAGAGGTTTCTAGCCTTCCAAGCATTGAGTTTGTTTTCAAATTTTTCCACAACCGGTTTCCAAGATTTTCTCAGATTCATGTTAGCCCCAACTGGAATGCCCGGATAAGAGAAGGGAGGTGAAGCAACCTCACATTTCAAGAGGAAGGCCAACTAACTTGGTGTCAATATTTCAGGGTTTGTAATAGGTGGATTGTATTGATTTGGTTGTGGTGTATACATGTGATTTGTATTGAATAAACATTATTTGGATTTATTTTTATTAGTTGAAATTAGGGTTTAAGTCATTTTTAGCCACTTAACTTTTGGTTTTGTGCTCATTTGATCACTTAACTCTTTTTAAGTTTTAAAAGGTCATCAAACTTTTGTCTTTGTGCGCATTTAGTCACTTAACTTTTGACTTGGTCATATTTAGTCACCTAACTTTTAAAATTGTGCTTATTTAGTCACTAAACTTTTAATTTTTTTCAAAAGTTTAGTGATTAAATGAGCACAATTTTAAAAGTTAGGTGACTAAATGAGCACAAATCTAAAAGTTAAGTAACCAAAACAAAAGTTAAGTAATTAAATGAGCATAAAATCAAAAGTTTGATGACATTTTAAAACATAAAAAGAATTAAGTGACCAAATGAACACAAAATCAAAAGTTAAGTGACTAAAAACAATCTAAACCCTTGAACTTATTTTAAAACTAAATAGTAAATTTAAGTTATTTATTATTTTATTTTAATTTTTTATTTATTTAATTTGATATTGTACACTTATATTTTATACCATTTGATTAAATAAATAACAATTTATTATTTATAAACAGAAAGTAAAATAGTCATATGTTTAGTTTCAATCAAAGCATTCAGTCCAAAAAAAGAAACGAAATTTATAGGAACATTTATCAATTCAGTAAAAAAAAAAAAAGCAGTGCCTTAGTCCCATAGTAAAATAGGAAAACTAATTAACACTACTTGTAGCCAAAAAAAAAAAAATCTTTCAAAAATTGAGGAATTCAAAATTCAAACAACATAGCGGTAGGTGACATAACGTCCAGCCGTCTCACTTGGCCTAATAATTTTCATAACTTGACCACGTTTTAACCCGTAATACCGTGCTATTGGATCCGACACTTGAATTCGTGGCAGCTGCATTCCCATCAAAACCAAAACAACTCATCACTTTTCATAACATCTATTTTTCTCACTATTTTAGACATAACCTAAATAATAATAATTTAGATATAAGTTATTGATTCAAAATTATATATTTGGATCGACTATCTTTTTTTTTTTTTTGGTATTACGGAGCAGATTGTCATTTTATTTTATGATAGAAACTAAAAATATGGTTATATTAATATATATACTAAGCTTCTAAATATGGAAGTTCAGCGAATAATTCTTTGGATATTTGTTGTATATATGTTGAGAAAATGTGAGGAATCACCTGTGTTTCTTTGACAGTGTATCTTGCTAACAAAGTCTTCTTTTCTTCATTTGTAAGCACCTGGTGCTCAGGAACTAAAATATGATCTTTAACATTCACCAACAACTCTGCTTCCTGAACTTGCAAAATTAAAAACCATATATATCTCAAGATTCAAGATACCACTGTGCACTATAATAATTAATTTCCAATCGTGAAATCACTAAATTAATCACCTGGAAAACTTCCAATTGAAACTTTGTAGCGATCTCACTCATGCAGTTTCTGGCAATTGGTGTAAGATTTTCAACCACGACCAATATTGCTCGGATTACGTTTTCTGATTTCATGCGTTCAATGTAAGTCTTCAAGGTCTTAACACCAACCTTTGGTTCATCGGGGAAGAAGACATAGATCTGATTTGAAAGAATCTGATAGTTAATGTAGTGAATAGAAACGATGATTAGAAGCAATCTGGAATTAAACCTGATCGGAGGAATCATTGGCATTGGCTTTACTGATTATGAGATCTTCTCTTTTCATGTTTTCACCGAATTTCCTGACGAATTCGTTTAATCCAATATTGATCTCGAATTCTCCAACCAGATAACCTCTGTCTCTCAGCATTTGCATAACAGTTCTGCGGATCCGACACAAACGCTTCATTTCTTCTTCCGATAGCGTCATCTTCGTACCTTTTCTCTGTCTAATTAGGGTTTACCTTTACGCACACAAAAAAAAGGATCATCCATGCCGAATCAATCTATCTAGGTTTACAGGAGATATCAACGATGAAACAACGAACAAACTTAAAAATTCAAAATATCATACACATCACACACGTAATTTTACGTGTATGGATCGATTAAAAGAAAAACCATCAATATCTCCGTGACATAGCTAGGGTTTACAATTACAACAGAGATTAACGAAAAACTCTCAAACACGACTGTGTAGATAAAAGATGAAACATATATACGTGGTGATGAATTTGATATTTTATGTAAGAACGGGAATCAAATCTAACGCGTATATAAATCAACATCGCCTTTTCGTATACGTGATCATGCAATGATCAAAATATAATGACATGGTTGAAACCAAAAGAAGCAACGGAAGAGACAAGTGTACCCGGCGGTGGTGGAGGTGGAGATGATCGTGAAAGGCGCGGGAAGAAATGACAAATTGCCGATCAGCTGCCCGTCTGCCCGTACCAGTGAGTGCAATGATGTGTGTTCTAGAGGATGTACACTGTTTAAGTAACTCTGCAAACAGGACTACTTAAAAGCCCAATTTAGCCCACTGTTATATTTGGATTGACATATTTAGTTAAATATATTAATTTAAAAACAACCTGACCCATTAGATTAATAAGTTGATCTTATATTATATTAATCAATTTATTTCTTTGTATAAAAAAATTTGTTAACAGACCAAAGTCTACCCATTTAAATTACAACGTTTTGTGTAAAAAATTTAAAGTTTAGGCTTATTTACTAAATAATCGTATATCGTAACGATATACGCTACATGAACATTCTTTTATTTTTTTATTATAAAATGATCACTCAAATCGCTAAAAAAAACTGTGAATTCGAGTTACTTCTTCATAAAAATGCTCACTAACTTTAGCTGCGAATTAATGAGTATGTCAGATTTGCATATGAGAAAGAGTGAAGCTTTCACTATTTTTACTTGCGAATTAGCGTGTATGCTTCATTTTTGTTGTTGATATTTGATGTAACCTCTTTTGTGGGCTAAATGTACAAAATGTTTTTACCGTATATGATGTCTCATTTTAATGTTTTTAAATGTATAAAGTATTGGGTGTTACATCCATATCAACTGGGAAAGGGGACAAAACATTCTTTTTAAGTATGTGGATAAATTTTCTTCCTAGAAGTGCTTTAAATATGTATAAGAAGGGTATCACATGAGAACATTGCAGTTAAAGCATGCCCATGTAAGAACAATTTAAAGATGGATGAACCCTTATATGTACTTATTTCGGTTGGTCTAAATGAGACAATATCTTGGCAAATGCATTTGAGGTGTTTAAATTGGCATTAGGGAATACGTTTATGTGAACTAGATACTGGTACTGGTATTAGGGAATACATTTATATGAACTAGATACTCAGATTGATATTAGGGAATACGTTTATGTGAACTAGCTAGATACTCGGATTGGCATGTGTTTATATTTAAACTAGTATGCTCAAAACGATGACCACCACTGATGAGTGATAATATACCTTAAGGTGTTGAGTTTAACATTTATTGTTTGTATGCTTTATGCTTAAATGTAATATAACTTTATCTTCATCATGTAATTTGGGATTAGGAATCTTGCGGTGACGTGTAGTGACATAATAAAAGGAAACATTAGGAGATTTGTATAGCTCTTGGAAACTTTGAGAATTTTGGTGTTAATAACCTTTTGGAAGAATGTTTGAGCGGTCTTTTTTTTTTTTTTTTTTTTTTTTGAGAAATTGAATATTCTTTTATTTTTTTCTCTACCAATCATTCTACTCACATATTACTATCCTAAAATATCATTAAATTTCATTAGATGAGAATTAAATGTTAAACATGTTACTATTTAATTTGATAGAATGATATCTAATCTAATAAATGAAGATCTATTTTGTCACATGTCAATCTCTTATAAATTTTTACACTTGTCATTTTGTGTATTTTTGAAATAAATAGTATCCACATGTTAATTTTTAGGTTTTTTAATTTTTAAAATTAAAAAATCACATAGATACAACTATATAAGTAAAGTATTAAATGTAATAAATATGATCTTAAATTGACATAAATATTTATCTTTCTTTATTATTTTAAAATTTAATTTTAAAAAATATTTAATGTTTATATTTTGATAATGATTTTTTTTTTGTAATTAATCTATGTAATACATGGGTGTCACATCTAGTGTAGGAATAAAAGGTACGAGGATATTTAATTTCTTTATTTTTTTATTTTTAATTGGCATGTATAAATGAGGATCTCGTAGTTTAGTGAGTTTATTACAATGACTAGGTTATAACCCGTGTAACACACGGTGACAACTTAAAACAGAATAAATAATAAATACTTAGCAAATTGCTATAAAATAATAGACAACAAAAATTCAAATCTAGGATGAATAAATACTAAGAAGTCAAAAACTAAATAATATTTTGATTGTAAACTAATATGAAAATGAAAGTTGAATGGTAGGAATGACATTAATATAATATTAAAATGATATAATTCACATTAAAGTGAGAAAATGTTATAACCGATACTAAAATGATATAATTATCATTAAGATGAAAGTAATTGTTATAACTTATAATTGATATTAAAATGAAAGTTGGATGTTATGAATGACAATGACATGAAAGTAAAATGTTATAAGTCACATTAAAATAAAAATGCTATAATTGGCATACAATTGCTATATTATCATTGAAATGAAACTAAATGTTATAATCTAGATTAACATGAAAGTTGAATGTTAGAGCTGAAAAAAAAAAAGTAAAATGCTATAATCAACATTAACATGGAATTTGAATGTGATCATTGGAAAAAAATGGTGTTAAAGTGTTATAGTCAACATTAAAATGAAAGTTGAATGGTAGAATTGAAAAAAAAATGAAAGTAAAATGCTACAATCTCTCCCGACTGAAAGTTGAATACTATAATTAAAAAATACGAAAGTAAAATGCTATAATTGAGAATAACTTGAAAGTTGATTGTTATAATTGAGAAAATATTGAAACTAAACCGCTATTGTAACATTAAAATGAAAGTTTAACATTATAATCAACATTAAAATGAAAGTTGAATGCTATACTTGAAATAATATAAAAGTTCAACACCATAAATAATGCTAATATTAAAAAAATGTTAAAGAAATTACTTTCAATTTTTGTTTTTACCACAAACGCACAAACAACCACAAACAAACACACACACAGTGAAAGACTACCAAATTATAGCTTTGTACTTTCAAAGTACAATGCTATACTAAAAAAAAGAATTAAAAATAATTATATAAAAAAAGAATAATAAATGAAAATGATACAATGATCAATACGGATAAAGATATAGTAAAACACTACCTAAATATAGTGTTGCTTATGTATTCTAAAGGATATCAAGATATTGGATTTTAGTTGGTATATATGAATAATAAATAGAAATTTTAATACAAAATAACATAGGCCACTTTCATGAAAATGAATACATATGGAGCAATTTGGTAATCTACTACACTTCTCTGCTGCATGAATTCAACCTGTACTTGGACAGTACATAATAGCCAAATGAAAAATATTCAGTACGAAACAAAAGTATAAGCAATATATAAAATATATCAAAAGTGCAAAACGCGTAACTAAGTAAATCATGGGTAACCCAAGAAGGGTTAAATATCAAAACATGCATATCTTACCTTTTGGACATGAGCATATTGTTTACTCTAGTCAAGAAAGAGAACTAACTGTAAAAAAATTATTTAATGATTTCAATAGAAATGAATCATGTTTCAAACTTAAAGTTTTATCTTCTAATTTGAAAGATTAATGGTGATTAGCGTATGATGATGAAGTATGTAAAATTAATTATGGCATTGTCATAAATTATAAATCTAAATCAATTTAGTCACCCAATTGGAAGCGAGATAGATAGATTGATTGAGATTTGATTTTGGAAAATGGAAATACATAACATACCGTCAACATCACGAGGTAGGCCAAAACCAAAACCCGAACAGCCGGAGATCTCCCCCTTGTGGTGTAAACTGATTAGATAGACAACGGATACCGTTGAATTTGACAGAGACTTGTCCCGACGGATCTGGATTAGATTGAAAGCATTGGCGATTCACTTATGCTCGATGACTCGCGGAGTCGTGCAACGATGAAACCTGGTGAAGAAATTGCCATGCTTTTGCTTCTCACCACAAACGCAACACAGAATAATCGCAAATTTGCAGAGAAAAAAAAAAGACGCTGACAGATGGCGGTGAAAGAAAGACGATGGCAGAATTGGTGGCGGTGAATGGATTAGAGGTGGAAGAAAGAGAAGGGAGCCGGTGATGGTGGGGGACAGATTAGGGCTTTAGTAAGGCTGGAGGGAGTGGTGCCACCGAAACCGCACTCCCTCCCCCGCCACATCAGCGCCATGTCACCTTTTACCACTCAAGTGTGGTTTCTTGCCACACCAAGGGTGTGGTGCCACACTTTTCATTTTTTTTTATTTTTTTGTTTTTTTTTTTAAGTATTTTAATTTAATAAAACTTCTTTTTTTTTTTTAACTAATTTAATTTAATATACCTTCTATTTTAATAAAAAAACATAATTCTTCATTACTTGAAAAAAAAAAAACAGTACATTGCATAACCAAAAAAAAAAAAAAAAAAAACACACACACACACATGACATTTAAATAACCCTAGAAACTTAAAAAACATAAAGAAAATAACTAAAGGAAACTACATAAAGTCGTTCTCCGAGAACTCATCTTCGGGGTCATCCGGTGGATCCAAATTAAGGTTAATGTTTTGAACCCCGTAAATGTGTTCCACCAAGTCATTGCGAAGATTGTGAAATGTTTCGGTGCAACGTATCTCTGCTCTCCTGTTTATATACTCTTCGCCACCAATTTCTATTGGTTGTGTCTCTGGTATGATTTCTTCCTCGTCAAACGCACATATCGCTCTTCCTTCGTCTTCAATAATCATGTTATGCAATATAATACATGTATACATGATTTCTTGAAGTTTTTCCTCGCCCAAATAAGCTGCTGGTTTTTTCAATATGAACCACCGTTTCTTCAGAGCTCCAAAAGCACGCTCAACATCCTTTCTAGCTCTTTCTTGAGCTCTCTTGAATTTCTTTCGTCTAGAACCATGCGGAGCTGAAAACGATTTAACAAACACAACATACTCAGGATAGATTCCATCGACCAGATAATAACCATACTTATATGGCGTTCCATGCACTTGAAAAGAAGAATCTGGTGCGGATCCATCGTATATGTTGTTAAATATTGGTGAACGGTTAAGAACGTTGATGTCGTTAATCGAACCAAGAGAACCAAAAAAAGCATGACAAATCCACATATCTTGTGATGCAACTGCTTCAAGTATTACCGTTGGGTGACCATGATCACCTCGGGTAAATTGCCCATGATATGCTGTAAGGCAATTTTTCCATGCCCAATGGAGACAATCTA